ATTTTAATTATTTAATTATTTATTAAATTATGAATAAAATATGAGTTTTGATTTTTTCCAATTATTTTTGATCCATATTGTATATCTTAATTAATTTTATTTTATTAAAATTATATTATTAATTATTATTAATTATTTATATTTTATAATAGTATTATTATTAAAAATAATAACTTTTTTTATTAATCTTTTTGCCAATACAAAAAACAAATATTTTCACAAATTTTTATATATTTATAATAACAAAGTCTATATATTTTATTTAACAATATTATATTTTTTTCTTATATTTTTTTTAATTTAATTTAATTTTTAATTTTTAATTATATCAAATTTTCTAAAAAATAAATGATTAAGGTTATAAATTAATTGATTGCATTATCTACAAAAAAAATAAACAAAATATATTTCTTATATGTTTTCAATTGTGTCATATCAAACTAATAATATAATTTATTCTTGAATAGTTAACTTGTTATAAAAGTAATATAAGAATACTAAGTAAGGTTAAAATTGTAAATAGAAAAAAATAAACTCATTATTTATTTATTTTTTTTTAAAGAATTAAAAATAATTACAAGATTTAGGTTTTATTCTAACCTGATAATAAGTTAAAACAAAAATATTTATTTTAAAAATAATTAAAAAAAAAAAGTCTTAAAACTATTCATTAATTAAATTAAGCAATAATTTTAAGATATAATTTAAAAAAAAAATTAACAATAGAAGATCAATATCATTTTTAATTAAAAGTTTTTAATTACAAAGTTTTAAAGAATACTTTTTTGAAAATATCTTCAAATATTTTTAGATATTATTTGTTTTAATAAAAATTAAATAATCTAAATAATTAAAAATAATAAAAAGTAAACAATTATAAAAGATTTGAATTTTATTTATTAAAATAATCTTTTTAATAATAATTAAAATAAATAATAATAATTTTTTTTAGTTTTATATATACTTGTATCATTTATATATTTATCTTTTTTATCTTTTTTCTTTTATATAATTTTTATAAAAGAAAAATAGCACAATTTAAGTTTATAATTGTAATTATAGAGATGATTTATAGGTTTTTATTTCATTGAAAATATTGGATCTTAATTTTTTTATTAAGAAAACAATATTATTATTTTTATAAATTATATTTAAAGATTTTAGTTATTAAGAAAAACTGAATTAAAAAGAGTTATATATTTTTATATGTTTTTATACTTGTATTAGTTTTTTATAAATAAATAACTTCAATCTAATTATAAATTTAAAAAAAAATTATTATTATTAAAAATAACAATAACAATAATAATTTATTATATATTAATATTAAATAAAAAAACAATTAATACAAATACTTAAATATAATAACTTATATTTTTTAATAATTTATCAAATATATTAGATTTTTATCTTGTTTAATATTTATATTTTAAATTTGATAATTTAGATTAATCAAATTTTTTAAAATAGTTATTAAAAAGTATTAAAGTTATATTTTATTTAGCTTTAGAAATTTTTAAATTCAATAGTTTATAAAATAAACTAAAAATTTCAATATAAATAAAACAAGAATATAAAAACAAAGTTACTTAATAGATTTTTATTAACATGGTTTTAAAATTCATATAAATTTATTGTTATATCAAAATAAAAAATTTTAAAATATTTAATTTAATCAAATTATAACAACTTTAATTTATCCATTGATAAAATAAAAACAAAATTAATTTAAAAATAATTTCATTAAATTTTAAGTTGTTTAATTAATTTTTTAATTAAAATTTATATAAAATCAAAATTTAAAATTTTTTCATTAATCTAATTATTTTTTTGGTCATAACAAATATTTATATTTATATATAAATATTTATTAAAAAATTTTTTATCAAACTTTTTTTAATTTTAAAATTTAAATTTAAGATAAATTTATTGATAAGGTATTAAAAAAAATTTACTATTTTATTTTTTATAATTAAATACATGCATTTTAATAAGTAAACATTTTAAGGTGATCAATAACATTAGCATTCCCAATACCAGATATGATGATTGCGTTTTATCCGAGGCACTATAAAAGTATAACTTTATCATCACAACATATGGCGTTTGTTAAATATACAATATAAAAATTTTTATCAGATGAAGAATATTAATATTTCGAAATAGGTACAATAATATATTTAAACTACTTTTAATTTAATTTTTCGAAAGTCACTGATATGTGTATAATTTGTATGTTTTTCTTGGTTATCGAATAATAAACACCTTTTGAATAACATGACAGCAAAAGGTCAAACAATTGAAACTCATAAGTTGATAAGTAAGTTTCAAAATAATAATAATAATAACGATATACTGTATATTATATATTTTACTTAACACCTATTTCTCGACTTGTGAATCGCTTATAGAATTTCGAATTTTCTAAAATCATTGATTGTTTTTTTGCGAATACTTATTTATTGCTAGCAGGTCAGACCAATAAATAGGAAAATCACCATTACAGCTCTTGAAAGAACAAGAATAATGCATTTTTTACGGAAAACCATGATAGTCGAACTTGTGTCCTCAATATTCTAGCGTAATTTTTAAAATACAAATTGTTTTTTATCCTAAGATAAGTGATGAATATGAGGAGTTCAAACCAGCGGAATGGATCACACATTCTGTTATTTTTCTGATTCCAGTAATTTCAGTCGAAATGGATTGAGTATTGAGAATAATTAAATTATAAAAGTACTAATTATTTTACTACCTCTAGTGCATCTATAGTTCCAACTAGTTCTCTACCTAAAGGTTGGTAATGTCAAGAAAGGGAAATCTTTCCTTGCCACGTTAGAGATGCACAAATTATCAAGTGTTTATGGTGTCACGGTGCCTTCTCCTGGTGCCATTGCTCAATTCAGAAATTGTAGCTAGATATTGATTATAAAATTGTTATTTACATTATCGTAAAATTAAGTTTTTTAGTAATTCGAATTTATAAGATAAATTGACAATCAAGATGCAATCACGGTTTTCGTTTATTCTTTTGATGGGTTCTTGCTATAGAAATTCTAAAGAAAAAAATGTTCACATATAATATTAAAAACAAAAAAATTTTATATCTTACTTTATTTGATCATAAATACAGTATTTTAAAATAGTTCCAATTTATTATCCTATATAATTAGTTCTATAGCTTAGATATCAAAATTTTCTTTATGCATTAAGTGGCTACGAACACCAATGTTTACATTTAACAACATAATATAGTTAAAACTTAATTAAAACGTTGAAAAAATTTTAACCGTTTTTTATTTCGACTTATTTAATTAATAAAGCAGTCGTACACTAACCGAGTTGGCGAAAATCGAATATTTGATGAAGAATCTGCTCAAAATACTCATTAAATCTTTCTTTCTTACACAATAATGTCATATAGTAATATAATTTATTGCCTATATAAATATATAATAAATTTAATGGATAGATTAATATCAGTAAATTTCTTATTATTACAAAATTATCAATAATACTATATCATAATAATTCTTGTATAAATAAATATAAAAAATATATACTTAAACAATAATGCAAATAACTCTATGCCATATCTGTCAATGATTCGCATGACCATCAAACCTTGAATTGATATAAATAATGATTACACAAAATGTGCACACGTATATTTTCTCAAAAACAAGTTTAATCGCCAGAGAAATGTCGTCTTCTTTAAAAGTTAATTTATCATTCAGGTAAATCTTTTTTTTGCATTAAAGCGCTTTTTTTTTTTCGGGATATACCGATTCTTCTCACTGCTGATTTATCGAATTTTTAAATAAACAGTGGGGGAGTAGAATTATTATTTAATAACACTAAACAGAAAACTATAGAAATCCCTTTTTCAATTAATCCGCCTGCACCCGCCAATATGAAAGATTTGGTTTGTAATGTTTATTTAAAACTACGAGCGGATCGGTGTTGATATATATCATTAGTTGGGTTGCGTAAAGGAATTTCACTTAATATCATAAAAGTTTTCTAACTCGTTCTTTTCTAATATTACCATCATGATCGTGACCGATGGACTACTGTTGCCGAACTGTTAATGGCCATCATAAAAATATTTCGCTATTACCTACAAAAATATGCGTATTCAAGATTAAGTGGATAAAAGAAAACTTGCTTCAAGAGAGACCGGAATTATTTGTTAGCGGTGAAACAATGCAAGTTGACTCTAATTTACACATTATAAGTGCATTCTGAAAATTCTCAGCTATAGTTTTTATAAGAACTTCTTTTTTGTTTTATCTCAATAATATAATCGACTTGATCCTAACACTTCTTTTCTTTACAATAGACGACCGGGAATTTTGATTTTGATCAATGAGGCTGACTGGGAACTAGAAGGAGAATTGGAGTATGAGATCAAAAATAATGACAATATTGTTTTTATATCAACCTTGCACGGTGGCTAGTCTAGAAGAAAAAAGGGAAATTTAAGTGAAGCGATATAGAAATCCCTATTTCAAGTCCTGGATTTTATATAAGTAATATTCTTCTACCTATAAGCAAAAAAAAATAGAATTTTCGCTTTTAAAAATAATTTTATAGCACCAATACAACTACGTTAATCGTTTAGAATTTTAGACATAAATAAATAAATATACTATATATTGTATATCTATTATGAAAAATTATCAATTAATATATTAACAAAAATCATTATTTTTTTTTGTTCTATTTAGTAACGTTATTTATTTTTAAAAAATAATTTTTTAAAATTATTAAAATTATCAATTGTTATAAAGTAAATTTACAAATATTAATGCTTAAAAAATCTTGACTATTAATATTAACATATTTGAATTGTTAAAAATTTTTTATATATTAAATTAATATGCAAAATACTTTTTATTCATACTTCTTTATATGATATACAGGATGATTCAAAATTTTTTAAAAAATAATTATTATTTACTTTATGATTATTATTTACTTTATGATTATTATTTATTATTTGTTTTATAATTATTATTAGTTTTATAATTATTATTAGTTTATAATTATTATTAGTTTATAATTATTATTTGTTTTATAATTATTATTAGTTTATAATTATTATTTGTTTATAATTATTATTTGTTTATAATTATTATTTGTTTATAATTATTATTTATTTTATACAATCAAATCTTTTTATATCAAAATACTTAAGCCAAATCATTTGTATCATTATAATCAGTTTATTAATATAAAAATTGACCTTATTATATATTATAATAAACAGGTAAACAAAATTATATAATTATAAAATGCAAAAAACTCTCTTCTGATCATGTCCATTTTGTTAAAAATTTTCCTTTTATGGTAATTTTAAGCAAGAAAAAATGTTTTACTCTCTTTATCACAAGTGAGCCCCAGCTCAGGAACTCAAGAATCTTCAAGACAACTGGTGCAGTAGAATGGGATCTCTAATTGAAGTCTATTCAAGTTTGAAAGTCTTGCTTATCCTTCGGTTGCATGAGAAAAGACCTGTGGCAGTTTTTTTTTATTCAGTTTTCTTGCATTTCTTCTTACCTTTATTTTATCATAAAAATCATCCATATTATTATCATCATACTCACTAAACCAAATACTTTTCAAAATATACACTCAAACAGAGTTGGTAGGTTTACTGTTTGTTTCAAGTCAACCTTCTATACAATATTCTTGTAGCAATATTTGTTATATTACTTTCATTTTTCAAAAATTTCTCACTCAAAAAACTGAAATCAGTTTACACCCTCCAGATGATCATTACTCTTCAATTATCCAATCAGATTTAGTCTAATGATCAAACAAAAATCAAACAAGCACAAACTGGTTTTGTATTACAATAACGATCATAACAACAACAACAAATAACTTATTATCAATGATTATAACAACAAACAATATCACGTGTACTCTATTATCTATAGCACATAAAGAGCTAGAGAGTTGGGACCATGAGCCCACCAAGGAATTTTTTTGTTCAATATATGAATTATATAGTATATTTGATTTAGTTTTAATTATAATTAATTTTATTTTTCTTTTCAATTTTTTATATTCAAAAAATCAAAAGAATTTGTAAAATTTTTTGGGATGGTAGGCATAGCCACTACTCAATCTTATCTAGTACATTAGTATTGATTTTGAATTTTTTTATGATATTAGTTAAATATTAATAAGTAGGCAAGCTAGCATTTAACTTTCCTGAAATAAAGAAAGAGATGTTGTTTCTTTTAATGATATATACCTTGTTATATATAAATCAAAATAAAGAAATAATGTTTACCTACTGTGGAAACCCACCAAAAAAATTATATTATTATAAAAAATATTATTATAAAAATATTTGACTACAATTATTATTTATTTTATGATTGTTATTTACTTTATAACTATTATTTACTTTATAATTATTATTTACTTTATAATTAATAAGAATATATAATTGATTTATAAATCTATAATACAGTAGTTAGTACTTCACAAATCAGATTATAAGATACCAATTCAATTTCAAGTAAAAATGTTGAATAGAATCCATATAATATTTGGTAATATAACTTGTTAAGTATTGTTTTTTATGCGAAACCATTTTATATACTGATTCAATAGGCATTAAGATTGTGATTTTTTAAAAAAATATTATAATATAATAATCATATAGTTAGTAATATAATGATTATCAAAAATATATTTATAATAATTAAACAATTAAAATCTTGGCTTAAGTTATTTCAATCTGGTGCAAAGTCTAATTAGTTTAAAAAACAACCAGTTACATGTGATAAAAAGAGTTATAGCCTTATATAAAACTTGTTAAAAGTAGCAAAAGTGCAATTTGCAATTTAGATAATAAGATAAAAAACACTTGAACTAATTTTTCTAATTAAGATTTCTTTATACAAAATTGAACTATATAAATTAGATAGTTTAAAACTAATAATAAAATTTTTATATTTTATAGATTTCTTTTTAATATCATATAAAAAATTATTTAAGATAAAAAAATTCCTAAACATTAAATATAAATTAATATGTGAGAAATAATTTATATAAAGTATATAATATATTAACTTGTATAAGTTCTATATTATAACAAATATTAATATAAGGTATTTATCAATAAAAATTAATAGAGATCTGTACTTATACTTTAAATATATATACAGTATATATATAATTTTTTTTAATCATATCTATTGTATTTAAAAAAAATTTTTTTATAGTAATTTTAAGCAAGAAAAATGTTTTATACTTTTTATTACAAGTAAGCTTCAATTTAAAAATTCAAAACTTTTAAGACAATTGATGTAATAGGATAAAATATTTGGTTAAAGTCTATTCAAGTTTGGAAATTTTGCTTATCTTTGATTACATAAAAAATGACCTATAGCAGTTTTTTTTTTTGTTCTCTTATATTTATTTTTGTTTTTACTATATTATAAAAATTATTTACATTAATATTATTACACTTTTTAAATTACACATCTTATATTTAAACAAAATTATTGAATCTACTGTTTGTTCTAACAAGTAAAAATAACATAATTATATTATTTTTACTTAGTCTAGATTATATATATGATCTATATCATAATTCTGACTATATTTGAAAGTGATCAATATCATAATTTTAACTATATTCAAAAGTAGTCAATCTTATAATTTTGGTCATATTCAAAAGTAATCAATCTTATAATTTTGGCCATATTAATATATAGTCAATTTCATGATTTTGGCTTTATTGTAAGTTTAATAATCTAATTATGATTATACATTATTTATAAAAATAATTAGTCAAAGTATATACTATCTAATTTATTATATATATGTTATATATATTGTTATACTTGATTTTCACCCAAGATCTTCAATAACTTTTATTCATTTTCATTAGCATT